TGCAAATTTTTGAGTGTAGGGTGTAGGAAGATAAATAATTGTGTTATTTTAAATAGTCACGGTGAAAATAAGATGCGACACGTAAATGCCGGAGAAAGCAGAATACAGAACGCGAACGTGAGCGTTGCGACGCCAACAAAACAGTTAGAAATGTCAATTAACGTTTGCGAATCTAATTAAATGTTTAATGAAGTGCGTTTTTATTTGCCGACACGATGCAGCGCTGTTGCTGGTTACTCAGTTTAGCCGTGTACCTGCCGTCGCTGTAATTGCATAAAAACAATATCCTCGTTATAAAGCAGCGCAATTGCTATTAAATTATTATCACATCCTTTTTCCGCCTTTCGTAGGGGCAATTCTGGCGCAGATTTCAAATTAAACAAAATAATAACAACATTTTCTTTTTAATTAGGTATGTCTTATTTTATACAACACTAAATTTCTAGGTTTTACATCAGCAATACCTTCAATTTATTATATTTAAAAGTAGGTATTTGTATAAAAATATTTGTTTAATTCTATTATATAGATAATAGGTAAGTGTTTATGTGTATAACAGTAATATTTAAGATTCTATACAAGTAGAACTTACAAATATTCTTAATACAAACTAAAATAATCAAATGTGTGCTGCAGATAGAAAATGGTTAACTTTTCAATCAATTCAGAACGTATGAAGGGGTTGCAATAACAAGTTTAAGCAAAAATTAATGCGCGTTGACAAGATCGTACGCAAACATCGATATTAAACGCGAATCGAATTTGAATCACCCCGTTTAATCGTGTTTTATGTGGGGGACATGAGATAATTAAATTACGGACCGCCGCCGGACTCCAACGATAATGTGCCATCTGTAATTATCTTTCCGATTAAATAAACTTTAAAATTGATATTTCACTTTAGGCAAGTCGACAAGTAAACAACAAACTGAAAGTGCCAATGAAGATTTAGGTACTAATGCAATACTATTATATATAGATGCTTGCTCTTCGTTTCATCGTAAAGAAAATTTTGAAAAGTAAAATATTTTTTTCAAGTATAATTAAAATGTGGTTTGTTTTTAATGATATATTACCACAGGACTCAATTTGCTGTTCAGATCGATTACATTTTCATTAGCAAGATTGTAATCCAATATCATTTTCTTTTGCAGCTTACTAGGGACCTCTGTGTTGGAATATACAAACTAGCATACATATAGTCAACTCTGTGTAGTTTCATAAAAGAATTCTGTAGAAAATATTGCTTGTTTATGCACACTTCTAGTTTTTGTTTTGGAAATTTCTGTCATTTTTATCCGAAACACTGCATTTGTTTTTAGTGGTAGTTTTTACATTACCGTTTTTGACACTAAGTGTGTGTGTGTGTAGGAATATGAATTTTGAGTTCAATACCTGTGTTTCCAGACTGATACCATAGCGGTCCAGTATTTTGTGAATCAAAAAATTGGTATACCGATAATACTGATATTTATAAAATTATTGATTAATTATTCAAACAATAGTTAATTAAAATTAATTGGCTATAAATAATTAATAAAAGCAAATTAATAAATGTTCATTTTGTAGGTTTGTGGGTTGTAGGCTAACTAAACACGATTATTGTTAAATAATTGATTAATAAAAGATTAATAATGAAATTGCTAAATAGGTGTAGGTGTAAGTATTTATTTTATATTTTTGTATTTGGAAATTTTTAATAGAGTAAAATATCAAATTGAAAAAATCGATATTTACACAAAATCAAAGCATTACTTCACAAAGAACTACACGCATGCACCCATAGGATCAATAATGTTCCGTTCTCCCTTTAATGCATAATAAAATAAAGTTTCCTTATCAGGTTTTTGCTCAAAATCGCACTCATATATCAAAATAACTACTTTTTAATTAATTATAACTGGTTGTTGGGAGATGGTCTACTGTACTCGGTTTCGTAAGCACGTAATCTATAAACTCTAAAATATGTCTAGCCAAACATGCAAAGATCGGGCCCGGTCCCAAACCGTGTAAAAAGTGACCTTTAATGAGCGGTTTTCGATGCACAGCAGTGTCACTCAGTAAACCGTTTTTGCTTGGCATTCCTAAAGCAATTGCAATATACCTATTTACTATGCTCTTAAATACTCTCCTTTAATTGAAAACATACTTATTCATCTTATTCAAAATTCTCCAACAAAACTTTAGTTCCGCATTTTTATCTTAGGTTAACACCTTTTCTTCTTTTGATACGCAAAATACATCAAATTTCTGTTGATACAAATTGTTGGCAATTAATACGAAACATTTTAGCATGAGGTGATCGATCCTGCAACTTTCGTGTTATTAGCACGACGCTCTAACCAACGGAGTTAATGGGCCACAGATTTGGTTATATGGATTCATCAAATTGCAATTGAAACATCATTAGACCTAACTTTGGCCATATAAATAAAATATTGGCCCATGAGGGGATCGAACCCGCGACCTTCGCGTTATTAGCACGACGCTCTAACCAACTGAGCTAATGGGCCACAGATTTGGTTATTGGGAGTCATCAAATTGCGATCGAAACATCATTAGACCAAATTTTGGCCATATAAATAAAATATTGGCCCATGAGGGGATCGAACCCGCGACCTTCGCGTTATTAGCACGACGCTCTAACCAACTGAGCTAATGGGCCATAAATTTGGTTATTGGGGGTCATCAAATTGCAATTGAAACATCATTAGACCAAATTTTGGCCATATAAACAAAATATTGGCCCATGAGGGGATCGAACCCGCGACCTTCGCGTTATTAGCACGACGCTCTAACCAACTGAGCTAATGGGCCACAGATTTGGTTATATGGGTTCATCAAATTGCGATTGAAACATCATTAGACCAAATTTTGGCCATATAAACAAAATATTGGCCCATGAGGGGATCGAACCCGCGACCTTCGCGTTATTAGCACGACGCTCTAACCAACTGAGCTAATGGGCCACAGATTTGGTTATTGGGGGTCATCAAATTGCAATTGAAGCATCATTATACCAAATTTTGGTCATATAAACAAAATATTGGCCCATGAGGGGATCGAACCCGCGACCTTCGCGTTATTAGCACGACGCTCTAACCAACTGAGCTAATGGGCCACAAATTTGGTTATTGGGGGTCATCAAATTGCAATTGAAACATCATTATACCAAATTTTGGCCATATAAACAAAATATTGGCCCATGAGGGGATCGAACCCGCGACCTTCGCGTTATTAGCACGACGCTCTAACCAACTGAGCTAATGGGCCACAGATTTGGTTATATGGGTTCATCAAATTGCGATTGAAACATCATTAGACCAAATTTTGGACATATAAACAAAATAATGGCCCATGAGGGGATCGAACCCGCGACCTTCGCGTTATTAGCGAGACGCTCTAACCAACTGAGCTAATGGGCCACTGATTTGGTTATCTGGGGCCATCAAATTGCGTTTGATGCATATTTAAATCAAATTTTGGCCATAAAAAGATATGGAACGGAGATAGAATATGCAACCTCCTGACGCCTCCTGACGTTGCCCTCACCGGCAAAACAATTGTCGATTCATCAATATTCCAGTGCAAATTGACTTAAGCTCTCTCAGTTAAAATCCATTTATAAGTTTAAAATGTTGCACAATATTACCACCACAACCAAATTATGTATTCTTAAATAAAAGCAAGTAAAAATTTATTGAAAAATACTGTTCGACAAACCTGATTATGACTTTTGAATTTTGATTAATGTAAGTTAACATATTTCCTAGAAACAATTGAATTATTGCGCATTATGAACAAAACACTAGAACATAATTAGTTGATCAGCTGATTCCGTAGTCACATTCGGAAAACCGGAGTTTGTTCCTATTATTATTAATGTGTTTTTCAAACTATGCATTATTAATTCAGTATGCAAAATAACTGGCTGAGCATGTTACTTTTTTAAGGGGCACACCTAGTGTGACAACCTAAAAAATTGCCATTTTTGGGAATTAAAAAAAAAGAAAAGCTAGTGAATCCACCTATTTAAAATTTTGAGGGTATATTTATACATGTTTTGAGAATACACAGTAAAATTTTTGAAATAAAATAATAAATATTTTTGAAATGACACGCGATCTCCAGCGGCGCCAAAAAAAGGTCCTCCACTGCTGGAGTGATTGCAGCCTTCTCCGTCAATAAAACCAAACAAAAAAATCTCCTTAAACTAAAACATATTGTCTGTACAATGACCCGCGGGCAATCAAAAAAATAAAAAATTTCCCTAAATTTTGGTCGTTTTTGGCCTGCCAAAATTCGATTTTTGGTCAGATCAAAAAACTGGAGGGTCATTGTATGGAGAACTATCTAGAGGAGATGCAAAAAAATTTGATAACGATCGGATCATTTGTCTCCAAGTAATCACTCCAGCAAATTCGAAAAATGCTGTTTCGAGAAAAACGCGTTTAAAGATAAAATGCAACTATCTAACTGCCGAGCGGCAACTCTTTTAAATGGCTGTTACTCAAAAACTATCTCAGATATAGAGTTAAAATTTTAGTATGTTATTTTTAACGGTATAGCCTATCGAAATATGGTAAAAAAAATTTTCGATTTTTTGAAAATTTCACACTAGGTGTGCCCCTTAAATTTCAACTATAGATGTTTAGGTCTTACGTTTAAAACTATTAAGCACATCCATGTGCCACAGGAATTATGTTTTTGCTGGCCGACGCAAACAAAAATATTAAGTAATAAATGTAACAAGAGAGTGCAAATATAAATAGCTTTATTTTTGTTTTCATTTTGTCCTTAACAATGAAATGTTGTTTATTGACAAGGTGAAACGGAAACAACGCAAGCTGCACTAACTGTTAGTCCATTAGCGAATCTTGGCGAACGAGCGCATCACAATTCGCGTCCAACGAATAAATTGTAAATTGCTCGTTTTCTACGTCAAAGCATTGCCGTATTACATCATCCATGCCAACGTATATAAGACGACGCGGCATGGGGGCTTGGCATCTTTTCGCTTTCGTTATTCGTTAAAATAACGCGCTGATCGTTAACCTACGCGTATTGCGTCAGCACCAAACTCTGACTGATCCGTTCATACATTCGGCGCGCATTTGGCAAAGTATTTGCAAAGTACCCGGATAACTCGCGAGAGCAGAAAAATTTAAATTTAAAAATAAATAAAAATAAAATGGATTATAGTTATTTTATTAATCAACATGCAGGAAGACGGCGACCTGCCATTACCAGAGAATTAAGTAAGTTTTGTAATTTATTATAAAAATTTGAAAGAGAAAAAATTGTTTTAAAATGTTCTCAGCAAAACGCCATTATAGCGCGCCAAAAGAATCTATTTCTTTGGCTGAAGGCATGCCGAACGAAACAACATTCCCATTTGAAAATATTTCCATTAGTTTAAAAGATGGTCATATGGTTCAATTGGGGCAGCCCGAATTGTCTGCAGCATTGCAGTACAACCCTACCCAGGGATATCCGCCTTTACTGAAAACTCTAAAAGAGTTCACCAAATTTGTACACAACCCGCCAAATTGGGATCGCAGCGAAGTTTTGGTCACGGTTGGCTCACAAGATGGCATTAGTCGATCAATTGAAATGTGTATGGTTGAAGGTGATTCCATATTAGTACAGAATCCACTTTATGCCGGCACTGAGGCTGTGGTAATAATTAATTAATAACATTAATATTATTTGCTAAACAATGTCTATTTTCCTATAGTTGAAAGCTTTCAAGCCAACTATTCTACCTGTGGATCAGGATCAAGATGGAATGGTTCCCGAATTGTTAGAAGAAGTCCTTGAAAACTGGAAATTACAATGTGAGCAAAACAGTGCTCTGCGCATGCCCAAATTGATGTATCTAAATCCCACGGGTAATTATTAATTTTTATTCCTCTAAATCAAATAATTTCATAATGTTATTGCTATTTAGCTTCCAATCCAACCGGAACCACAATTCCTCTTGATAGACGTCAGAAAATCTACAATATTTGCTGCAAGTACAACATAATTATCTTGGAGGATGACGCATATTATTTTCTGCACTTTTTGGACCACACCACGCCATCTTTCTTATCATTAGACACTGAAGGAAGAGTGTTGAGATTCGACTCGTTCTCAAAAATTATGTGCCCTGGTTTGCGCATTGGCTGGCTCACAGGTCCTAAGCAATTGGTGCAAAATATTGAATTGCATGTTCAGAGCTCCTATCTTCATGCCAGCTCCCTAAGTCAGGTGAGAAATATAATATATTGTTTATACGGATATTTAGATGAACATAAGTCAGAAACTCAAAAAATAAGTGCCAAAAATTTGAACTATTTTTAAAAACGCTTTTAACCTTGTTGAATGTCCGCACTAGACGCATCATACGACTCATCTATTTTTATCGTGTCGGATGTTTTATAAATCATTATCCAGGCGCGTTTTAAGTAGCCCAAATTTATAATTCGTGTTATTATGAAGTCGTTTAGTTTTTTTTGTTAAGCTTCCTGTTTGCTTGAGACGAACCGCAAGATAATAGAATGATTATTCACAAATTCAGACTGCTGATAAATTAAATAATTTGTTTTGCAGATCATCATAAACAGCCTATTCAATGAATGGGGATTTGAAGCGTTCCTGGGTCGGTTGAACACGATCCGTGATTATTACAAAGTCCGTCGGGACGTGACTCTCCAATCAATGGATAAGCATTTGAAAGGACTCTGTGAATGGACGGTGCCATCTGGTGGTATGTTTGTGTGGATAAAAGTTAAAGGCATCAGCGATGTGTACGACATGTTAATGACGCGAGGGTTAAAAAAGCTGATTACGTTTGTTCCGGGTCATGCTTTTATGGCGGATCCAACGGCTGCATGCAATTACATTCGAGCATCATTCAGTAAGGCACAACCTGCTCAAATTGACATAGCGATGAAACTGCTCGCAGAGCTAATTATTGAAGAGAAAGAACTGTTAAACAGGAAACTAAACAATATTGTTTGAGTATGGATTGCGTTGTGTGTGCGACCACTGTGGGTTGGAAACTGTATGTGATTATACCTATTTAGATACTGAGCTGATAAATGATAAAGGACTCTGCTCGCACTGAAATATTTGAAAGATTACTGTAGTGAATAGAAAGGAAAATATTGATTGAGTGATATTCAGAGCCCAGTAAACTAGAGTTTAGATTATTCCTTCATAGAGGGCGCAACAGTTGTATAAATTAGTATTATTTGGTATTTTTATGAAACACTAAATTTCCGTACGACCTGCAATATACTTGAAGTAGACTATTACCAGTAATTTAGTATAATTAAATAATGTTTAATAAAACATAAAGAATAAATAAATAACAAGATATATGTGTTGAGGTTTTTATATTTCTTTTTTTATGTATTAAGTATTACGTATAAAACTCTAGCACAAAAACTAAAAAGGAAAACGATTCGTATTATAATGTGGTTTCGATAAACAGCAGTTAAAATTCAGCCGGTGTTTATAATGGCCATCCCCCAAAGAAAACGCCACACTTTTTGTGTGCGTTTTTTATTCCAATCCAGAGATCCAACAGTAAACCAGCGGTGTGTATAAACAGTGTATAAGGCAATGTGATCCATTTTCACGTCGAAATATTTTGTCCGCCTATTCGACATAGACTATCCCCGACTAGAGGGTCTCGTTAAGTTCACTTGGATAGTATGCACGGGCACCCGAAAACCTATTGGCATCGCGTATGTGAAGCGTTTGAATCTCTATCATATTTATACACGTACCCAGGATGCGCATTCACGTACATGTTTGGTTATAATATAGTGTGTGAGGGGCCGGAGGGTGGGGGCGACGGTCGCGTGGGTTGCGGTGGCGGCGGCAACGGTGCGCGCGGGGGGCGCTCGTAACCGAAACACGCACTGGCAAACCCAGGGAAGCGAATGGCAGTGGCCGAAAGGCCGAACGCGATGCGACCTGATCCCTACGGAGAGTTATGTATCTTGTAGATTTATGTATAAAGTGTAATACCGGTAAAGCCGGCCGCCGTGCTAAGCCGCGCACGAGTGAAACACGAGCCGAACGTGTGTGTTGGTGCGAATGCCAATGCAGCGCGTTTAAAATTCCTCAAATTTTCAAACTTTTTATGCAAACGCAAGAAAGGTCTGGTTTTTTTCAGTTTTGAATTTAGTGATTTGGATGTGAAAATGAAACATTCAACCCTAAGGTGTGAAATCAACCAAAAACAAATACTAGCAGGCGATATGAAAAGCCATTACGTGAGGTGGCTATTACCTTGGTCGTACAGGACAATGGCAGCAACCGTGCCAGTGTTTGGGTCGGCTTTTCGCGTTTTATACCTCTTTTATTTCTCATCTTTATTTTACGATTATACGACGTGATTTCGTAAAGGCATAATAGTAAAAAATATCACAAAACGGCATTTTGATTTAATTTTAATGTTTATATTACATACTAACCAAGATTTTTTAGGTGCAAAAATCATCATTTATTTTTCGTTTGTAGTACGTAGGTACACATGTCTTGTAACAGCTCAAACAGCTCAACAGATTGTAATTCACCGATGGTGCTACAACTGCTGCAAATTGGCAACTTTAATCAGGAAGTTAAAATGAACATAATATTATTTATTTCATATTTTATTTCAATTCTATAATAAAAACTAGCAACCCACTTCGGTTTCGCACGACGTCTTCCAGATATGACTGAAATACACTTTCTATGCGGAAACAATAAGCAACCGTTTCGCCAAACTAACATTTTCAAGTTTATATAGGGGAGAGGGGGGCAAAGTGGGCCCCAAAAGCGAAAATAAGGGATTTGTTAACCGTTTTTCACTCGTTACACTAGTTTTTACATCCTTGTTCAGTATTCAATACTAATAAGCCGTGTCTATTAAAATAAAAAAATTCATTCATTTTTTTTTTCATTTCTTACTTCGAATTTGTTGATGTGAGTTATTTTCCCCTCTTATTTATTAAAAATTTTGGGGGCCCACTTTGTCCCTCAATTTTTTAAGCCACCTGAGTTTCAGGGGGCCCACGTTGCCCATTAAATACATATGCATCCCAATCATCTAATAGGCACCAAATCTATCAATCTTAAGACTTTTTTGTACAATAATATGCATGTATCTATAATATTAAAATGAATCGCAAAATCTGTTGGTAAGTGCATAACTAAACAACGCAGAGACCAATTCGGCCAATTTTGTTTTTAAAATGTTCGTTAAAGTCCAAGGACGGTTTAGACAGCGAGAAAAATATGAATAATTGTTGGGAAAACACTAAAGGCAGCCCCTTTCCATAGATTTAAAGTTGGCATTGAGATTCAATCATACATAGTTATAGTTAAATAGTTGAATCCGAAATGGCGAGCTGAAGTGCATTATTAGCAATTCTATATATAATTAATTTTTTTAATATAAAATTGCGAATCTGATTGATAGAATTGACACATACCTACTATGTCTAGAACAAGAGAGTAAAAACGAATTACGAGTAGGTACACTATTCCAAAAACTACACAAAAATACGTTGTGTATTATAAAATATTTAATACTACCTTAAATACAGCTTAGGCAACTTCATTTAATAGTATGTAAAAAATACTAAAAGATTTGATCGTTTCTAAAGTTCAACGAAAAACTTTACATCCAACATTACTTATAACGTATGCACACGTCTTTGTTACAGGCGTCTATATCTAAGTAAATAAATAATATAAGATTTATGCAGAAGGTAATTTAAAAGTTTATTCGGGGTGGAAATCCATTAGAGAGGTGACGTGAAAAGCAGGGAGGGGCGTTTCTATATTAATTAAGGGCTACCTGTCACTAACCGTCCCGTCTCATGATTGATGACCACAGCGGCGACTCGCGACTCCTCAAGAATTTTCTACACACCGACTTTTCGGTGGGAGAACGTACCGCACAGTCACACCCTCGCTTAAACCTGAAGCACATCTTCTATAATTTGGCTTCACGCAAAAACATTAAGACGAATTAGCAACTTTGCGCACTTATTAATATACGTCGAATGAGAATGACAAAAAAGTTTTGGATAAGAATCATTTGTCAGCGGTATAATCTGTCATTTTATTTAAATTTCTATCTTTGATTTCTGCTGACTGATAACAGGATCAATTTTCAGATAATAATTTTTATACATTTGGCAAGAGTGAAAGAGTGATGATAGGTTCTTCTATACGAAGAAGAAAACCGGTTATCTAACAATTTGCCGATCATTTCCTTCCGTTTCAAAACCGAGGGGAAAGATAACACTCGTTGCGATAATTTATTAACTTTGCTTTAATTATGCTTTCTTTCATATCAGTACTGGAGTATTTAAGTACGCGTTTTATTTGCTTAGTTGGTTTTAAAATTAATCAACTGATTTGTTTGCATGTGAATACCTAGCAATTTGAAATTTTTAGTATGGAAAAATTGCAGGCACTGAATTATATTAACCTACAAGCATTAATTTAGGGACAATGCTCCTTCCCTGGCAATCCTGCTTAGTTGTCAGTTGCCGCCGCCGAGTCCTGTATGATACGCAACATAAAAGCTGACATACGGCGTGAAAATTTCGAGTGATATTCGCGCGTCTCGTGGGAAGGCAGCCCGTGTGCGCGCTGCTCTATAATGCATGGTGTTATTATACATATTTCACGGGGAGCGACGGGCTAATGTGGTAGAAGATAATGGACCGGCGCATCGCGCGTCGAAAAAACACCACTTCCCTTTTTATTTTTAATGCTTATTCATTCTGACTGCCGTCGCTCGAGCGTACGCTCGCCTCCACCAGTCATGCTGCGCTCAGGCGTAAAGTCGACACGTCGGAAAAATTGCAAACTTTTAAATATTAAAACTTTTCCACGCGTATACCGATCATGTTTTGGAATTGAATGTTTGCAAAAAGAAAACGGAAATCAGTTTGATAGGAATAGCCGTTTGGTAATATTGTAACACGTGAAGATAAATGCGAATCAAGTCTAAACAGGGCGTGTAATGTGGGGCAGCTGTTTATGCGTTTCGGTTATTAGCTCGACATAAAAGAGGGTGCATCGTAATCAGATCCACCAAAACTAATCAAACGCCGTAACATATCGTGAGGCACCTAATCTCATAATCTTTAAGCGTTTAATATTCATGCGAAAAGTACAATACTTACCTTCATCGTATAAACTTTCCTGATGTAATAAGCAAAATCTTATAAAAGTGCATTAAACATAGCAAATTAAAACTTGTTATGTGAAATATAAAAAGAACTATGACTGCGTCTTACTCACAATTTTTAGTTCTGTTTACCAATCTATTAAATTAACAGCAACAAATTAAATCTAAAATATAAAAATGAATCGCGAAATCTGTTGGTAAGCGCGTAACTCAACAACCCTTCAACCAATTTGGCCAATTCTTTTGTTAAAACGTTTATAAAAGTTCAATGATGGTTTTTGCAACAAGAAAAATTCGAATAATTGCCGGGAAAACCCTTCAGACAGCCCTTTTCTATAGAATAAAAGTTGGAATTGATTCATTCGTTGAAGTGCATTATTTGCAATTTGTTATATAATTAATTGCTTTAAAATAAAATTGCGAATCTTAATATCTTGATAGCTCTAGAACAACATTGATATGTCTAGAACAAAAGAGTAAAAACGAATCACATTTTTATTAAACACTACCGGGACGAGGTCGCGGGCAAAGGCTAGTTTTAAATAAATGGTGATACGGCATCATGCTAAGGTAATTGTAATTATTGACTTCCATAAAATTATCAAAAAGAATTTACTTTGATGAAATATAAAATAAGCAGTTCTACATTCCAATTTCCCATTAAGTCCGCCAAAAATAAAATATTAAAACTTCAATTTCTTCTAATATAACCAGAGCACCTATAGCAAAAAAACTTAATAAAATTATTTGATATGTAGTTTATAGATAGGTACTTGTGCATCAAATAAACCCCTTTTAGATCTGTGATACATGCGTTTATTAGAACTAAGTAATTCGCCGCACGTGGCTGGGGGCTGCACTACTGATCCGCAATATGTTCGGCATCTCTGATTTATTGATACTGACACTTAGTTACATTTGGGGATATGTTCATTGAAGTAACTATTCATATTAATACGACTCCTCTGGAAAGCATTATTTCACACAAATATCTCTGTACGTACAACTGAGGCAGTCAAAAATAAATTAAACTTTAAGAATTTCTTTAATTTATATAATTTAATTTAAATTTAAAGAAGTGTACCTACAGCAAATAACTCTGAATCGCTCATCTTTAGTCAAGTAAAAGCTTCCTCACACGAGTGTGGAAGTCAATGCGCCGAAAACCCGCGCTTGTCGTTGCGGGGGTTAATGAAATAATAAAACGGGGGAGCTGGTGCGATGACAGGTACGCGTGTCGGTCACGTGCACGTCCGTCGACCCACGGCTTTGATGAAAACAATCAAACTTGCAAGTTGCGTCGATAAAACGACAAAGGTGATTTATTTACATTGACGTTACGGATTACAAAAGGTGATTACATAAGGTAAAGTTCTCTTTGAAAACGATAATAATTGTTTTTTATTTTAACAACTTTAAGAAATTCGGCTTCATAAAAGTCATTTATGCTATTGTGTAACATTTAGTTTTAATATGTACGACGCGCATGCTGTGAGGCAAGAGAAAATGTAGAAAGGAACGAATCAAACAAGCAAATAGGTTTTAAAAATTAACACAAACCGCTGCTTCAACGCTAAAACAAAAGGAAAAGTAGCAGCAAATAGATTTTTATTTTACAGCTACGTACCTGTATGATGCGTTTACCCGGTGTTTAGAGTGTGACCGACCTTACAACATTACATTTAGATTTTTCTGTGCGCTGGTACCTAGGTATACCTAATTGTACGTAGATGTTTGTTTTAAATATTTCAGAAGCGGATTCGTTAAGTAGCTGTTTTGTAAGTTCTAATTAGGATGAGCGCATTGTTTTAGTATTCGTGTGCTAAGACAAACAAACACGCATTAAAAATTCGTGCTTTTGGGCTTAGTTTCGGCTGTATTTATTCTGGCCACACGGATGTGTAAAACTTTTAACATATTTCAATGTTATATTTTAGTGTGCATCGTTAATTGTATGCAGTTTCAGTGTTATGCCAGTTGGAAATTTATCAACCGTTAAAAGACTTTATTATTGTCACCAACACAATGTGCGCTTATTACTTTTGTTATAGTGCGGTGCATTTGTACGATGGATGCGTAGGTGTGTATGCGCCGCGCACAAATTGAAAATGTCGTTCAAACACGCTGCCTAAAACACGCGTACTGCACCACCCACTATGGAAATTGAATTAGAAAAGTGTGCAAACTGCCTGTCGCTGTCAAAGAGACAATTTCAATTTCAGCGCCGGAATAGATTCGATAAAATGCCGCCTTCCCATGCAGACATTTATAATTGCTCACTCTTTCAAAGATAGCTACACACAAGAGTGTAATGTGTAGAAAATAGACATTTTAGAAGAATTGTAAAGTTTGCTGTTGTATGGGTTGAGTTTAGGGTTTTCACACAATCGGAGAGTTTCCAACGGCAGTAGGTTTGTAATGTGCAGGCGGTGGCGGCGGCACCAACGGCGGCTAGTGCGATGGCAGGTCCTGAAACGCAAGCGAGGAGAGCGAGAATCGTGGATCTAGGCCGTCACGGCAGGAAATCAAGAGTAATGCGGACACGAAACTGCACTCGCCCGTCTCCCCTGGGAACGCAAAATGGCGGAGGAACAAGTGAATGTGAAGCACTGTCTCGCTCCGGCTGCCGGAGCGGACGACCGTCTTTATCTCTTAGTGAAAGCGTCAGGACATTTCATAAAAATAAAATTCTGAATCGAGGAACGACCCATACGAAGCGCCAACACGTAGGTATATTTACTCCATAAGAAAATATCACATTGATATATTTACAATACTTATCTGCATACAACAAAATTAATTTTATATGCTCATGGATTGTAGAAATAGGAATCTAAACTAGCGGTTTGAAAGTGTAAAGTGTAGCAGCGCACTGTTTGCTTATTTGTTCAGTGAACTGTTGTTCAAAGTACACAAGACCTGATATATTAATTAAAATTTGGAACGATTCTACGAGTTTTCACACTTAAGCCATGAAAATTCACATGGGTGCTAACCAGTTAGATAAGCTATTAATTATGCCGGCATCGATAATCAGCGATAATTGGATTCTACTTTATTTGAAGGTCACATAGATAGCGGGCGCATGCATGCTCCCAACACCATCAGGGAATCGGTGGCGAGAAAAGATTGTTTCAGAATTATATCATCACTAAACATGTTCAAAAATAAAGATGACAAAAATATCACAAAACAACTTGAATATTGATTAAAAGCTTCTATATGCAAAGTCATCGTCGTGAGTGTAGTGGTTGAACATCTACAGATATGGTTAATTCGAAATCGTAATATCGCTTCCCGACGATATCAAAAGTGGATGTTTAAGTGGACTCTGCTACCGCCACCAGGGCGCAAATAATATTACCTTGGTTGCCGCCAACCGACGGCCACACCAAGGGGTCGCTCGACGAAAGAATCCCAATCTCGTGCGCGCACTCGTTTGTGCGCTTGTTCCATCTGTGTGTGTGTTTAAAAAGAATACGCGAAGAGCGGAAGCAATAAGCAGGTAAAATATTTTCCCCATTAGCGTCGAGTGCAGCGCACAGCGGCAGAGGCTCCTCCGATATTGCTCCGCATTCCTGGCGACTCTCTTTGATCCACACGCGAATCTCTACCGGAGCGTCACCAAGCAACAAGCTCGAACCGCTCGCGCATATACCTACCATCTACGAGGAGCATCTCCCAAAATGGTAACCTGAATATTGCGAATGTTGTATTTGTTTATCAAATGTAAAACTATTAAAATTTGAATTGAATTCGTTTGTTTTACTAAGTTGGAGGCATTGCAAATGGGTCAATAATGAAGTGATGCTCGTGGGAGACGGTGCTCTGATCGAGACTATTATAGGGATCAACGACAAACGTCTTTTTCGCACTCCCAATATCGTCTTCCCTCCCCTATTACGATTTTCCGCGCAGGGCGCAGGATATTGGCGATCACGCTACCAAGACTTGATTAAATTTCTTTAGACGTTTAGCGTTGAATTGGCGAATCAATAAAAGATTGCCCTTTTCTCGGTACCGGTACCATCGGTCTGCGTATAAATTGGTAATATTTGTTTGTTATAAAATGCTTTAGAAAATTACACCACCGTGTGTGTCCATATGACTATACCCGTATGCGTGACGAGTTGTTGGCGCAGGAGGAAAAGCAAAACGCGGTAAAGTTTTTTGCCGTCACCACGCCGCTGCACATTCGAGCGTGGGCTCCCGTACGTTGCGTTCACTTCGCCGCGAAGGGGGCATCGTAGGATTTGCTCGGCGGGCTGGCCGCGTGGGACGCGTGCGCGTGTCTCTTCGGCATGCAGGAGTGCGGCGCGCGCTCGCCGCCGCGAACCGAAACGCCTTCCAACGCGTGGAACCACTCCCAATTATCGGATCATCCTCCTTTCGCGTCCCCACCCACGCAGCATCCCGGGCATGAGAAACATATTCACAATTCAGTATCAAATCAGTACTCATTAAATAAACAGTGCAGTGCGTCAGTCTGGGAGAGGAATCGGCACGGACGATTTTCACCAACGCTCAACATGCTCAACAATCTCGGCGCCGTTGTCGGTAAGTTAGTGGGGGCCACTAATTGCCCGGTAAAGTCTTTAGTGATTCAGGCGCGTACTAACGATAGGCTAGTTAAATGGGCTAAATTGACGCTGCCTCGCCCTCATTAGGCCAATACTCCTGGCTCGCTCCGGTAGGCTATGCAATTAAGGACCACGCATCCCAGACTCCGACACCGCACTCTTAATACTTTCAGTTGACTACCAAGCGACGTGTGCACCACGAGCTCGCGGCCGCGACGACCACCCGCTCAAATTTATCGGTTTAAACTGAGAATTAATTTTCTTATTAGCGCGCACGCATGATTGATATTAATTGTGATTAATTTCAAATGGATTGCAATAACTAGTTACAAACTTTTAATAATTTAGTGTAGTGATAAATGTATTATCTTAATTATTATGATGATGGTAGGTAGGTATCTTAATTTGTTCATTTGGTTTCATTTCTCGCAACACGCTCCTGTATGTGTATAGAAAACGTTGATCTGGTAGCGTTTGATCTTTGCGGCATCTTTTCGGTTTGCCGTCGGGCGGGCTGCGGGTTTTACTACATGCTTTTTGAGGTGCGCGGCGCCGAAAGTGTTATACGACACGCCAACTTTAAAACGGGCACGTCTCGTGTGCTTTTATTGCAGGCATAAAAGAGATGTGCGGAGAAGACATCAAACGGCATCCAGGTGAATTGAAAGTACTGGATCAGCCGCGATTGAGCGGCCTCTGCGACTCTGCCGGCCTGCCGCCGCTCGGATCGCTCGGCGGCAGCTCCAGTGATGGCGATAAGCCTACCAAACAGAAGCGGCATCGCACCCGCTTCACGCCCGCACAACTCAACGAATTAGAACGGTGCTTCTCGAAAACGCATTATCCCGACATTTTTATGCGAGAGGAGATTGCCATGCGGATTGGTCTTACAGAATCGCGAGTTCAAGTAAGTAAAATCTGCTTTTTATTTGCTACTAAACTCTTTTATTCAACATAAACATTCAGCTATGTGGTCATTTGCAGTTTATGATAAAGAATCAATTGTAAAATTTGAAATGCCTAAGCCCAGAAAGAGAAAAAAATGTTAAAAACGCCTAGCTTATCATATTTATCTTCAAAAAATGCGTAAAGTTTCATAATACCTACGTTAAGCAAGAACAAAAGTTTATTAATATTGTATACCACAATAGAAGTTGTCTCCTACGTGGAATAATACCCTTAGTATTTGGCAAGGAGCGAAAGCTTCATGTCACCAGAAGCTTCACGTACGATGAACTTTTGATCTAGCGACATCATCGCACACTCCAGAACACGACTGGAATCACAAATATCAATTATTCGATGTTCGTACTGTGATATTTATTCCAAATTCCAATAAAATCTTTTATTTTACAAATGTATAACATAATGTAGGTACAATACGTAGATGTGGTCATCCGTAAACACTTTGTTGTTCCAATAGGTATGACCATGGGGAAAAATGATCAGGCGCACAATGTGCCCAGTTCAGTAATAATTAATAAAGCATAGAGCAATATTAATAAATAGCAAATATACGCGGCGTGGAATGTTCCACATGAATTACGAAATTCCATACTGTTCAATTGCCAATGCTCACGAGTCTCGCTTGGAAATTTCAAAATATTATGTAATATGCGCGCGCATTTTTGTCGCTAATTTTTGCGCATCTGTCGTGTAACTGATATTGCAATATGCAATATCAATCAATAACAACGGATATATTGCATTTTTATTTGCAGATGCATTTTTATTTTGCCAGCGACAATAAATTCGTGACACAATATTCGCGCACAATGAATTTAATAAATTGAAATTGATGAAACTGCAAGCTATACTAAAATATATTTTTATGCTTTGAAATAGATAAACGTAAGTTTAATAAACTCGCGATAGATATAATATTTCACTTTAGTTGTGCGCATGCCAACTTTTAGTGCCAAGTAGGTATATTAGAAATTCCATGCAGTGGTATATTCAATTCATATTAATTACAATGCGAGTTGTTTGCAAGTTCCGAATCCCGTTGGGGTGTTCCTGGAGATTACTGCAAAGGTTTTAGACAACATCAGACTGCGTTATTATATTCGCGGTTGCCGCCAAACAATACACCTATCTAGTTAAAGCCGTAGATTGTCAGACGGGGGTGCAAATTGCGACAACGCACATTTTGCGTATACAAATTGAGTTTCGCTGCTGTGGTGTGTGGTATTCGGATTGCATAATGCAACAATATTAATTAAATATAAATTCAAATTAATAATTTAGATACTGCTAGATACTGCTAGATAGGGGAGAGTAACCGAAGTTGGACCTTTGCTTTGATTAGATCATCATCACATCTTGAAAACTATAAAGTACCTAATATAATTTTTGTTTGCTTCTAAGCGGAACAAAGCCAAAAATTGGAATTTAGTGTTTACAAACTTGTACAAATTTACGTGACATCCATAGGGTGTTAACAGAGTAAAAAAGTTAGTAATCAATCTAATTATTATACCATTGGATAGAGAATTTATTTTTTATACCTGGTTGTGTCTCAATCAGATAAACGTTGTAATTTCTAGCGTCACAAGTAGCAAAACTTAAGGGAAATTATTATTTCATTCATGCCTTGCCCTTTGTCAATGATAAGCAAGTGCAAACAAAGTAAAACTGAAAATACAAACATAAGGTCAATGCCAAAAGGTGCAATAAACACTGGTAATTCAACTTTTTTTTTACCTAACTTGCTTAATACGCATGAACCCTTTTCCGGACTTATCGTTTGTCGGTTGTAAAATTTTATTTCTATTACAGGGGCAATGAGAAATTTCCGTTTTTTCATAGGTTGTGGTTGAAAGTCAGATCGATACACTGATAAAACAAAAATTGAACAACAAGAAATGTAAATTCAAACAAAAATCGATTTTTTAAAATATTTATTATGAAAGCTTTCATAAAACAATTTTTACATGCTTTTTCCATATCGGTCTAGACGTTCATTTTTGGGCAAACTTTTTTGATATTCAATGTGACATCACATTGCAACAAAAACTGTCCGTCGTTTGCATATCAAACACCACATCTGAATTATTTAACTGTTAATGATGGGGCAAGTGCTTGGCAAAATAAAAACGTTTCGCCTATATAGCTAGGATATAAAATCCTGAAAACCGTCACACTTCGTCAAAAAAATCGGGATCGTTGAATGCGCTCCTATTTTCTCATTAAGAGCAAAAATTCGCACCTATTGCAGCACGTAGATACGTTTCGAAACAAATACGAGCACGATGACACATTGGATAATGAAAAATGGCATGCGCGGACTCGTCCCCGCACGATGAGTTGAAAATTTCGATATATGCAATGTCCGGATGTATGTTGGATGACATCGAAACAAAGAGCAGTTGCACAAGTACACGTTAGAAGGCAAAGAGCGAAACTATGTTCTCCGCGGCGTCCTGGGGCGCGCTAAAGTCCGGCACAACAATCAAAAACTAACGAAGGGCATAGATAAATGGACACGATGGTAGAAATCACGCTGCACTCGGACGAAGAATTGAAATTGATGTGGACTTTCCAAACGCGTTACTGGAAGGCTGCAACTGGAAGAAATTAACGCCGCAAATGGATATTTGAAGTTGTGGAAAGAAAGGATTTATGTGTTTTGTATCAATTCACAGACACAGTATTCCAGTGGAATATTATCAGACTGTGGCTGGGAATGTGTGGGTGAGAGAGTGCAACAAATGCAACGCGATGCATGTCGGGATATATTACAAATGGATTAGTGTAAATGCGCCATTTCGCACCCTATGCTGGAGGGACGCCGTCGAAACCGAAAGCAATAAGTATATCATCGGACTATACCGGACGACCCGCTGGGGAATGAATCACAATCACGTGGCAAATTAATCGTGCAGATGAAAATGCAAACGTCCAGGTGTTTAAATATCATCTGCCTTCTATATTCATTGCGTTATAAATACACAAACATTCTAATTATAATGATTGACAACTAAGAACAAAAAATACCTGATGCAGCGTTTTTTTTGGCGGCGCATGACATTTTAGATGGTCCTGTGCTGCGCCGTATGCAAATGCGCAGGCGCTCGCGTCGTTCTGTGAATAACACCCGTGAGTAAAGTACTTTTCTCGGTCTTAGCCATCCGTATTTAAAATCTCACTTTTTGTGTCTAAAAACCATGGAGAAACTGGCGCTTTAAAAATGGAAATAGAAAATTATGTTAATACCATAAATTATATTCGAGACCCAACACAACAATACTTATATTTGTACAAAACTCTATCAAATTTCTTTGTTGTGCATTAAACTGCTACCTTAAAAACAACAAATAAAATGCGCTGTTTTTGGTTTGACGCATCCAAACAATCACAGTAGGTACAGAAGTTGTTGGAATAAATTTCGGTTTTAATATGTATACAAGTGAGCGCAGCGTGTGTTGGAGGCGGCGTTCGTCGTGTTATTAGACGTCTTTTACGTTTCTTTTTTATAGCACCCCCAGGGGTGGCGCCCCCACGTCGCAGCACAGACGCACCCCATCCAATAAAAAAGAAGGCGCACGCTTCATTATGCAGTCAAATGTTTGTATAAATGCTTAATGAAGAGTGATGATTTGATTTGTATTTTTCGTTTTAATGCACTTTTTATTTGCCATCACTACGCGACATAAAAAAGTCCATACCTATATACAAAAACATAAAATTAAAAACAAAAATACCTACTTGGTAGCTGTTGGAATACCGTAATAAAATCTTGAGGTTGCAACATAATAAACTAAAAACAGGTAATTCATTGTGTGTCATCAGCTGGTTCGTCATTCGTGAGTGCGAACTACACTTCATCATGAAGACAACAATGAAAAACGCTCATTACACAAGGAAATTCACAGATTCACAGTAAACATTCACAAAAAAGCTGCTGTACAATCACGTCAAACAAATTTTTATTTATTGTTTATTGTTTTGTCTGGCATATGAATTTATTCGGTTGTTGTTGCACTGGTGGTGCGTAATGCTGGTGGTTATGAGGCGACTTGTAATTGACTTTTGATTTACCTTCACCTCTATTCATAAAGCCGCGCCGAAAAGCACGCCGATGTTTATGTTACGGGCATACAGGCAGACGATTTGCGACCGCAATGCATGTATAATAATATTTGTGTATTCGCAGCAAGGCAAACCTTGCGCCCTTAATGCTGGGGTTGTCTGGACGGTCGGCGTCGCAGAGCAAATTACACCGAGGACCGAGGGAAGTGAACCACTGATCATACATCAACCGCGCCCCATTAGGGATTAATGATGCCAACACCGCCGAAATTAACTCCCCGCAGGCTTACGCCGGGCAATAACGTTAACATATTAACCATTTGTTAGAATAGCAATATCTCGACCCGACAGATCTTATAGGTACTGTTTATTATATTTTTCGCATAGTAGGTAAATCAAAAGTCAATTAAAATTACTAAAAATTGCTTTAATACACGAGTAAAAATTACGATTGTTTTAAAAATGTCGTTGTTGACTCAGTAAATTTAATTTTACATTAAATTTGAATGTTTGGTAAATGCTTGTTTAACACATTACGTGTGCAAGTGGTAAATGTTAAAGTTAAATGTTATCATCCTTGGTACAATCTCGAATTGCTGTGCACATTCGGCAGGAATTTCTATAGCAGATTACCACTTTACGACTTTCGATTACCTTTACGACACATTTCTAACCCCAGATCACGCAGCGCGTTATGCCCGTAAAATATTACGATAGTTTTAACCTTCCTCTCTCTCGCAGCCTCTTTCTCTCTCTATGCGTTTTTATATTTCAAGGGGGAGCTTCGGTTTAATGGTGAATTATTAGATTTCGCCGATTTTTTACCACCAGCTCCAACCGCGATATGAAATTTGGGCATCGTGCAAGCCGGATGTGCACAATGCACCATTTAGTATTAACCGTGACAACGTAATCTTCATTATTCTTCTTGAATAGCATACGCCACAGTGTCTCGGATAGGCACAAAGAAACTGAAAACATTGTAGAGATAATGGCATTTTAAATCAGTTTCGGATCTAGAATATTCCTAAACTTTGGGATATCAGATATTTTGGAAACGAATTGAATTTATTTTCCAATAAACAATTTAAATCCAATTGAGCAATTTACAAGTTGGTGCAGATTGATCTCTAAGAATATTGCCGTCGCTGAAATAGAAATTGAAATGGCTGGTATAGTGGTGGAAAGCCTCGTCATGAACGGGGGTGGCATTCAATATTAAAACGCTGGAACGCATGCGTCTTCATGCCCCCGGAGTTGGATTCGTGCGCGACCGGAACCGTAGAAACTCGGATTATATAACATGGCTTCCTTTAAAAGCAACATTGGCTGCAACTATATTTTGTTAAAATTAAAAACAAAAGCATTGCATCATGTACCAAAATCTCAAAAAAAAACAGCGCTTATATTTTAAGTAAATTTGTGTGCTATTTGTTTTAAGTATTGTTCTTTGTGTCTATAGAAACATAATAAACTTTTTTTTGTTTCGAGACGTGATCACCAAGTCTGCTTGGAAATTTCTGTGCGAGCATTTAACATTTTTTCACATACATCTGTGGAATGTCAGCCCGTCTACAAAATTGCCCTTCCGTTTGTTTGGTTCTGACTGGTTTTTATCGTACCACAAGTTCAGTCCCATTGTATTTGGTTTCCATGCGTGGACCAGTGTCCGTCGCCATTACTTTTTCACGTATGAGTGAACCTCGCCGTAAACAAAATCCTCTTTTACTGTCCTTATGGTGATTTTATGATCTTCAAATATTGTCCGGTGGTCAGCGAGAGTGCGTGCGTGCAAAACTCGTATTAGGTTAACTAAATCGGCTTGCTTCTAATAATGCGCTGCATAAAGGAGCCTAATGGCTAACAAAATATGAGCACAGTGGGTGATAACACTAATAGGTAATATAAAGTTGCTACGCTTATAATGGTACACTATCAACTAAATAGAAGTCGTGTGGAAATTGCCGCCAATTGGTGACCTCTGACGTGCGATGGCAGACGTAACAGACATTCGCACTTTGCGTTTTAACATTTCAAATATTTCCTTTTGTTCTTTGATACCCCTAGAGTTACTTTTCCTCTCGGATTCTTGTTCCCTGCACAGTTGTTTTAGAGATCGGTGGCGGGTTATATGGTTGGTGCACAGGGAGCGCATATCCCGGGGGATAGCTTGACAGTGGTTATCCATCGCCGCGCCGAGAGATCTATGGCTGTTAAATAATCCAACACCATTAGCACCCCCTAGCAGTCGGACTTCTCCGGGATGCAACGCACTGTCCGCTGAGATTTACACCGTTCAAACTGACGGATGTGTTATAGTGGCAAAATAAGTTCAGCTCGACCCAAAGCATTCACTCACTATACATCTAAGAACTTTCGATATTATATTCTTTTTTAGGTAAAGGCATTTCAGTTCATATTACTTTACTCAGTCAACTGGGTATATTTTGGCAGCGTTTAACCGATGAATGTTTTTTTGATGCGTTGCCCAAATCAGCGAGTCGACATCAAGAGTGCGTATGATAGTCGAATCAATTGAGTGCTCATAAAGTGAATCGTTGAGGTAGATGGCGGAGGTGGGGACGGCGGGAGTCTCGCTTACCGTTGGGTTGTCTGGGGGACGCACGGGCGGGCGCTCCGCGCGGTGGCAGTCGAGGGCGAGGTCGCTCAATAATGCGGCCTTTGTATTGTGGGTGCACCACGCAATCCTACCTTCGCCTTCCGCGTACCAACCGCCCCCATTGGTTCGTAGCGCTTCGTGAACAAGTGCGGCAGAATCGGAATGTCCATAATTATTTATAATTATGCTTGTTCGCCGGCTCGAAGCTTCGAGAACATTAATTAATGAAAATTGTATTAATGGTAGAAAGGGGTCGGATTGCTTTTCGAATCTCTCAGCTCACGGCACTTATAACATTGAATTGGCATCTCATTGTAAACAGGTCATTTTCCAACAGATACGCATTTTGGCTACCTATGTAATACTTGATATATGGCGTACTTAAATTCTAATAAAAAAAATTTTTATGCTGTTAGAACTTCATGGTCTGTGTTGTGTGTACAGGTATGGTTTCAAAATAGACGTGCCAAGTGGAAGAAACGAAAGAAGACCACAAACGTATTCCGCACGCCAGGCGCTCTGCTTCCATCACACGGTCTTCCGCCTTTTGGTGCCATGGGCGATGGCCTCTGCGGCTCCAGTATGTTCAGCACGTCAGAGTCGAGATGGGGTGTTGCGGGCATGGCCACAGGTTAGTACCGTTCCAACACTTTCAATCGGCATAGATGTTTACATAATCATTTAGATCATGTGGCCTTACATGATGTTACCACCCACACACAGAGCCACATACTATACACCCACTCGTAAAGACAAATCTTCCAAAAGAGTGAAATGTGCGTTCAGCCTTGAAAACACTTTACCACACGTTTGACGCGTTTATGGTTAACCATGGGAATGCGGCGGCACGTGATCGGGGTGCAGTGCCACCGCGACGTAGGTTCATAAATTATTCATAACCACGAAAGTGTTACCTTTGCAGGGTTAGGACAGCTGAGCCAGAGCGGAGTATCGATGGGTGGCTTCGGGCAGTCGCTGGGACAACTAAATCAAACCTCGGGATTAAGTCCTGCCCTACCAATAAGCACGACAGCCGCAAGTACGGTTTATCAGGCGCACTACGGATTAAACTCTTTAGGTGAGTACCAGTTGTATCTATTAATATACATTCCTACAATGTATACAACTAGTTATTACTGGAAATATGCATATGATTTTAAGTCGCTTATTTTTATTTTACTTTATAAATTCGTACATGGCGTTGGTTGAGTAATGAGTACTCACCAACTAAAACGGGGCATGTGAAACAGTGAGATTTACTTTTGACACCTCTCGTCGAAAGTAACAAGTCATGCGTGTGTAAAGAAACAAGTTTACATATGCATATATGGCAAGCGAGTTTGCGCGACATCGCGCGGAGGGCTGGTCTACATGTAATTAGCAGTAATTAGAAACATCCTTGTTATCCGCTACCGAAATACGCCTCAATGGTTCTAATTGCATGGGCATACACAATCCTAGTAGACACTGAGGCAAAATTTGCCATTAACATCATGGTTGTATGCCATTCGCCATAAAAACATTATCAATTAGCAAAAATCGGAACAGACAACGTTTTGGTCTCGGAATTTTCCGTAATTCAAGGTACACGTGGTTGCTAGGAGTAGCAGAATAAGCAGCGAGAAAAATTACACTTTACAAAAAAGTTGTAGGTATAACAGTTGCTGTCGTGTAGCGTTAACAAATATTACAAACCTGTGAAATGCTCATTCGTTTTCCAGCAGATACACACTTTTATTGCGTGTTTAATTTTTGATTCACACTTGAGCGAAACTGATATCATTGTGAATTGTAACAGTCAATAGTGAATATTGCAAGTAGCAGCAGAGCAAACAATCCGTGCATGTAGGTAGATATTCATCACAACAAAAAAAGATGATTCATAACGACGAAAAACGGAAAATTTCACAAAATGTAAAAACAGTTCAACAAAAATTATGCTTAACCCCGAATAGTTCTCTAAAACAAAGATATTAGCTGATTCCATGAAGCAAACTACCCAATCGATGAATAATAAAAACTATGCAGTACTGGTCATTGTTAAATCATAGTCGGCAATGTCAATATTAAAAATTTAAGCAAATAATTAAAATATAATAGCTACAAATTATACTAATGCTTTGCTAAATATTAATAACCAATTTGATGCCTCTGTAAACATGCAGTGCGCAATTTCAACAAAGGTTATTAATTTCCATTATTAAATATACACCGTTCGCGGAGTTATTACCAGTGATAAACACACAGTTTCGATTGTACATCAATGATCAAACAATGACTATACCATTCGCTTCTGATGGCAGGTTGACGACAGCGTCGGAAACGTTCCGAACGCTAAATGTGTGCGACCTTTACGTTGGCCAAACATTGCGTGACTTGGAATTAAAAAGTCCCGAAGCGCAAGTGACGATTGAATGGAAGCAAATTACACGCCTATTTTTTCAGGTCAATATCGCATTTTAGGCGCACAACGGTTCTGTGTACACTTCATATAATTACATACCCTAGTGTGTGTAATATGTCTTGTTGCCTCTAACGTTGTCGCGTTCGTTCAATATCTTTTTGTTTGCAAACGGGCAAACAACGAATAATTTAGCACTTTTTATTACTATTGTAGTTGCGATCGTCAGACCATAAAACATGTTGGTTTTGGAAATGTGTTTTTGTTCGTTTATAAATATTGCAGAGTTAAAATCTTATGTTTGTTATATTTTTAGGTGATACGATGATGACGTACTGCAATAACAATAATACAGGTGGCGGGGGCGGTGGAGGTGTAACGGGAGGGGCGGTGGCGGTACGGGTAGTTCGCCGCCGCCGCAGATACCTTGTTCGAGCGCTGCTAGTCCACCAGGGACGGCGGGCGGCTCGCCTAACGATCAGGAGGACGACGTCTGGCGCGGCCACAGCATAGCCGCCCTGCGGCGGCGAGCGTCTGAACTGAACGCCGCCATACCATCCTATCTGCAGATCAACTACGACACACACAATAACGCATCAGTGTATTAATTTTCTTTGAGCGCGTGATCTCCGTGTTGGATTTTACAAGGTAAAATAAATGAAGGACTTTACTTAAATTGTCAATCAAATAATTTATAATTCAACATTTCATTTCGCGGATACATCTGCTGTATGATATACATATTATTATATGAATTTATTACTTATAGATAGGTATTTAGATGAGACTCACTTGACTCATGCGGTTTTACGATAAATTTTTAAATTGTATAATAAAAATTTGATGTTATAATTTATAAAAGACCCGCATTGACACAATTAAAAACACATAAGACATTATTTATTTACAACTAAAAGTATGACCTTATTCTTGAAATATTTCTGATGAGAATAAGACCAATTTAACGAAAAACTTTCTAATCATAATTAATTTCAAACATTGCATAGTACCATCTAGTCGTCCAAAAGGTAAAGATTATTTTAACGAGAAGAAATGCAGCCGTTTTGGTTAATGATTTTTATTAGCAAGTACTTATACAAAATTTACTACATTATTATAAATAAAAAAGAAATATTAGTCTTAATACAATTTCAATTTTATCTGTGGCGTCTGTATACGATGATAACGATAACAATATGTAATGTAAACTGTAAAATAATTTATTGTACAAAGTATTTTATCAATAATTATGATAGTACTAAAATATAGTTAAGTTATAAGAATGAATGAATACCAAACATATACGCTGTGTACAATGCGTTCACACTTCTACTTTTAATAATATAAATACATATATTAAATGAAAAGAATACTTTAATAAACGTATGTTTAGTGTGATGTGTTAATTATAATACTACATAGTTGTAAACGATTAAACTATAAATCTTTACTATTAACATATAGTATAACGATACAAAAATAAGATGAACATAAAATGCCATTTAATCACTCAATGAATATGTAATTTTAAAAAACATGCTATGATTTTGATGATTTTAAATTGGCATATTGGCATTTTTCAGTGATTCAAAATACTCAGAGACGACGCAGCTGTATACGTTTATAATTATTGGTATTTATCAAATACCAATATTATTTATAAAAACATACAAATTGATGGAACAAATCATAGCAACAGTATACGAAAAACACACAAATTTATAGCATAAACAATGATGATTAAAAACAGCATTAAAGAATATCTAGATTAATTTTTATTTTTCTAACAATGCATTTAAAATATATCATGTTCCTATGATTTATTTAATTTCAAACTGCATTAAAAATGTAAAAGAGGTTATTCGCCAAAGTAAATTAAGTGGCATTAGTTGAGTTTTAGTTGTCGTTTTATCAGTTCTCTGTGGACATGCATTTTTGTTGTATACTGTAATATTATGTGTAATAAAGGAGCGATCAATGTATTACAAACTTTAAACCGATACTTTACTATATTAGGATGCATTCATCATTAAATTATTTATTTAGACACACTACAAGTACTAAAAAGAAAGACTAGTTATAGGGGAAAGTAGCCATATTTGGACCATTTTTATATTTTTTGATTTATAGAGCCACATATAAACTGTCAATAAAAATTAAGTAGCGGAAAAGTAACTCACAAGGCTTACCAACAAAATGATATTTTTGGTTTAAGTAAAAATTATATTTACACCCCTCAAATTTCAATTTAAAAAAATTGTGTTTTTGGTCCAAATTAAGAAACCGGTTTCCTAAATTGGACCGCGCGGTTTCCTAAATTGGACCATGCTTTTTTAACGGCAATTGACACAATAGTAAATTTTAGTTTTAGCCCTAACACAAGCACATTTTGTATAAACCAAAGTGCGGCATTTCATACAGTGGATCATTTCGAAGATTTGTGCTCGTCCACAAGCTTTTCTAGGATGTCGAAAAAATGATATACGTTTTCCCTGTTAAAACCCCGGTGCCTGTCTTCGGTCCAACTTGGGCAACTTGAAGAATTTATATTTAATGATCAACGACAATCTTAATATAACATAACCTCTCAAAATTAATACTATAAATTATAGATATATAAAGAAGCTTTCTGATGATAAAATAATAATCAGTAAAACTAACGTTTAATCGGCTTGACAGCTCTTGCACTTACGTCGTTATAATAGATTTGATAATCAATGATACACGAAGTTGTTGCCACGACGAAAGCACGCGGCAAGTTTTAACCCAAATAGTTGCATTAATTGTTTATAAATACGAGTAAAACGAGGGGCCAGTCTATTTTTGCACAAACTTCCACAGTCCGCGGATATCGTGGTGGTCCAACTTAGGCGCTGGTCCAAATTAGGCTACCTTCCCCTATTAGTCATAACATAATAATATAACTAGGATACTGCTAAAAAGTTATAAATTGAATGATTATTGATAATATTTAATACTGATTATTGTGTTATTCACACGGAATGCATTTTCAAAATGAGAATGATAGAAATACTGTAAATACGTACGAAACAATAACATTAAGTATCACGTGGTAAACGAGGGTTTTACTCACGAGATTGATTGAGGGCGAGGGTTTAATCAATCGAGTGTTTATCAACGATTTTCGTCCTAATGGCGCAACCACCTAGGTCGGACTTGAACTCTCAATTTTTTCCAAGGTTCGCGCCGTGATTGAAATGAGCAGGGTCGGCTTTATTTTGTAGTGTCAGTTATCAAGGTCGTATTTTTATATGGGATAATTTTTTTTAAATTTGATTAATATCAGCAAATATAATTATATATTTTTTAGAGCCCAACCGAAATTTCAGTTTCGGTTTCGGCCAAAAATTGTTCAAAAAGTTCAAATTTCAGTATTCGTGAATTTTATTATAGTTTTATTTTGAAGTGACACATAATTGAGGTTTGAGGAAATCCTCTACCAAACATATGTTCTAAAAATTACAAAACCAAAACTTTCCAATCTGTCTTCAATTACTTCACTTTATTGCTTAATACTGTTGAAAATAATTTTATTGCACCATTCCTTAAATCGTTAAATTTTGAAACTTAAATTAAACATATTTTTATGTAAGTTACAGTTTCCGTTTTAGTTTCGGCCAAAACTGAGTCCAGGGCCAAAATTTCGGTTTCGGCTGAAAAGTCAGTTTCGGTCGGACTCGACTTCTAATATTTGTTGAGATTGCTGTTCATTTCCTGATATCACACGTGTTTATTGATTAATTAACAATTAATAACAACGCTTCGGACTTTTGAAAACGTTAGAAGATATGAATGTGTATTTGGGCGTGAGTTTCCACTATTTAGTTGTTGGCGTATGTTGGAATCGACTTTACTCGTCTAGTAAGTTTTTACGTAATTTATTTCCATTACTTAATATAATTCCCTCAAAAACTCTACCGTATATTTATCATTATGTATTGTGTAAAGTGTAGTATTCGTCGTGAATACTGCTAAGTATATTTGTTTATACTTTTTATTGCATTGAAAACTAGATCACGGTATTAGGCATTATCCAGTCTATACCTGCACGACCATACTGGCCGTGGGGAGCCGGAGAGAGGATAGTTTAGCGGACCGATTGCCAGCTGATACGGTGGCTGATCCGCGTTCTTCACTCGCGTGTCTGCAGATACATTTGTTTTTATTTCGATAGTTGTATAGGTATGTCATAATTTTTAATATCAATTAAAGAGTAGCCGTTTCAAGACGCGTTATAAAAACATGGTGTGGATGACGCCCAGTATCTCGTAAATTGTCTCACTTTTTATCGTTTTTTTACCGTCATGTTAAAGCGGGAGAGTTCCTCTACAAGATGCATACCCCTTCTACCTACCAGCCTTTTTTGGAAGTGCCCCAAAATGCCCTTCAAAAATTAACAATTTTAGTAAAATTTGAAAACATGGTGTGGAAAACATTCCGTATCTAGTGAACTAATTGACTTGCTTAAAGTTTCTCCGCGTTAGAATATAGTTAGAAAGTTCCTCTACAAGATGTGTACCTATTAACCTCTCAACCCTTCTGAAAGTGCCTTAAAATGATCTTTAAAAATGAGCAATTTTAGGAAAATTTGAGAACATGGTGTGGAAAACACTCTCCATCTAGTGGCCTAATTGAATTTCTTAGAGTTTCTCCACGCCAAAATAGAGCTAGAGAGTTCCTCTACACGATGAATACACTTTCAACCTTCCAGCCCTTCGGGAAGTGCCTTAAAATGCCATTTGAAAAATCTGAATTTTTAGGAAAATTTTAAAACATGGTGTGAAAAACACTCTGTATCTAGTGTACTAATTGACTTTCTTAGAGTTTCTCTACGCCAAAATAGAGTCGGGAAGTTTGTCTGCACGATGCATACCTTTTCAACCATTCAGCTCTTTCAAAATTGCCCTAAAATGCCCTTCAAAACTTAGCAATTTTAGAAAAATTTAAAAACATAGTGTGGAAAACACTCTGTATCTCGTAAAAAAATTGACTATTTTCTAGTTTCTCCATGCCAAAAGGGAGTCAGGGAGTCTATCTTCACGATGCATATTCTTTGTACCTTCCAGCCCTTTTGGAAGTGCCCTAAAATGCTCGATGAAAATGAGCAATTTTAGCAAAATTTGCAAACATGGTGTGCAAAACACCTTGTATCATGTGAACTAATTGATTTAATTGATGTTTCTTAACGTCATGTTAAAGTTCGGGAGCCCCTTTACACTATGCATATATTTTTGATGCTATAAACCTTTTGGAAGTGTCTTAAAATTTCATTCGAATATTGCTCTTTTTATCCAATAAATTTCATTTTTGGTCGAATAACAGGGTCGAACTTTGTTTAATAAATATTTTTCGGTCAAAGAACAGGGTTGAATTTTTTTACTTAAAATTTTTTCGGTCGAATATTTTTGTTAAAATATTTTCGGTTGAAAAACAGGATCGAATTTTTTTTCATAAAATTTTTTCGGTCGAATTTTTTTGTTCAAATTTTTTCGGTCGAATTTTTTTTGTTAAAAATTTTTCGGTCGAATTTTTTTAATAAAATTTTTTCTGTAGAATTTTTTTCTTAATACTTGTTCGCTCAAAAAAAAGAGTCAAACTTTTTACTTAAAATTTTTCGGTCGAATCTTTTTTTTTTAATTTTTTGGTCGAACAACAGGGTCAAACTTTTTTAGTTAAAACTTTTTCGGTCTAGTTTTTTTGTTAAAATATTTTTGGTCGAAAAACAGGATCGAACTTTATTTAAATTTTTTGGTCCATGAACAGGGTCGAACTATTGTGTTAAAATATTTTTCGGTCGAAGAACAGGGTCGAATTTTTTGGCGATTATGTTAAGAACAAAAAGGTCGCGAAAAACGAATGTATTTTTCTCGAAATTTGGAAATAGGGTCTAAACGGTTAATGTTAGTTACTAAAATAAACGATGTAGAATTAAATTATCTATCAGAATCCGATTAAGAATTTAATAAAAATTAATAGTTCCATGCATAGTACGAGTACAAATCTTCTCATATTCTGCACTACCAGTACTACCACACTGAAAGTATCAGTGTTTACAAACAAACAAGTTTCTTTATCTCCTACAGTGTGCGGTCGCCACGCGGTTGGCGTGCGTACCACGTTAGTCACATTTTTGTCGTCAGGTAATCTGGACGCACAATTTCTTTACAATATTTTGAGTTCCTTAATCTTTTGTCCCGTTATTGCGTACAGTTTCAAAATGCTCTTTCGATTGTGCGCGAGTGATGGTGGCGTTCGTTAAGCGCGGATTGTTTATACGCAGAGGTAAAATGTGAGTGATGTTCCGTCGGCCGTCGGATACTCTTTTGTATCATACGCGTATTTCATATTTATTTCGTATTTTCTTTGAATAAGCCAAACGGTCAAAAATTTATTTTGCATCAAGGTATTATTATTGACTTAACTTGTTTTTACTTCCACCGCGTGGTCTTTAACCACTCAAATAATTTTTGGCTCCGTTTCAATACACACCGATCATTTGCAATACATATTCGATACATTGTTTTGTTTTCGTTTAAGGTACAAATTAAAAAGATTAAGATTGTCATGTGCCGTCGGTTGCGTTCTTAATTCTTTGGCGGCTTTTTCCGGCTAAACCCATTACCCACCACGATTAGATACAATATAAGATAATAAGAAAAAGAATATTTTTGCATTTTTTATGATGAAATCTTTTTTCAGCTAGTGCAGCTTTTGAAACAATTGGAATTTTTAAATTCTGTTTTTGGATTTTGAAAGATAATTTAATTTTTAATTGATTAATTAAGTACTTATTATGACGTGTTTGTCAGTTCCCTTCGATGTCATTATAAACGGACTCTACTGTAATTATTTTTCTATCATTGACGGTTTAGACCCAATATGCAATTTTAATAAAAAAAAAGGTTATTTTTACTTGCCAAAATGGCTTTAATCTACAATTGTGTTACATGTTCGGATTTAGAATTTAATATACCT